AAAAAAAAAAAAAACACAACACACTCATGATCTCATGGACAAGAAAAAGTTTCCATCCATCCACAGACAGTCTTCCTCAGGTTGTGGCCTAAACATTACCATGTCCATGTAGGATTCACTAAGCACTGAGAACAAGACAGCAGTGTGTGGGTATTCTTTTGTCTTGTGCACATTACTGTCACCAGCACCTGCAAAGAATCAATGACATGTGCCTCCTGATGGTTGCTGAGCTTTAACATTCAGATATCTCCCAGGAGCATTAGGTATTCCTCTGGTGTTGCATGTAATAAGCGATTGGTCCTGGAGTCAGGCTTTATGGCTTACATTAAGTACACTTCAAGGGTATTGTCATTACACAGCAGATGAAGTGATTCAGGGGACTGGAGAGGCCAGTTCAACAGCTGGCTTTCATTAGATACATGATAACAGAGAGCATTTGGGGCAGCAGGAAATACAATCTGCATGTGAAAAAAGTGTCTTTAATTCTAATGAATCAAAACTAGTTTTTTGAAGACTTGTTAAATTATAATTACTGTGGAGCTGAAACGATGAGTTGATTAATCAATTAGTGGATCAACAGAAAATAAAAAACAGAATGATCTGGTTGCAGCTTCTCCGATGTGAGGACTTGCTGCTTTTCAGTGTACCAATGGAACGGATGTTTTGACCATTATTTGAGAAAATACTCAGATTAATCAATAATGAAAGAATTGTTAGTTGCAGCCTTAAATACTGTATCAAGGATGTCACCGCTGTTAAAAACTTGCATTTGTATGTCAGTATATTGTTCATGGAGATGAGCAGAGACTGTTACCACCACACAGTAGTTCTACCATTAGAGAAACCATGAAAAGAAAGGTTTATATTTCATCACTATCAGCTGTCAGACACTCACAGACACGGTTTGTAGTGAAGGCCTGTTTTATGCTGAGTGTTAACTACATCACCGTGTTATGAAGGAGAACAGAAATATCAGATTGGACTCTGTACCAGCACATACAGAGAAAACACAGATTGTGACCACCTGCAGCATGTCTGCATGCATGTGTGTATTCCCTTCCTCACCCAGATCTGCAGCTTTATCCTCTTGTCATTCCTGTAGATGGTCTTGACCTTGAAGTCGATGCCCACTGTGCTGACAAAGGCTGGCGTGAATGAGTCGTCTGCGTAGCGGAAAAGGAAGGAAGTCTTTCCTACGCTGCTGTTGCCAATGATGAGGATTTTAAACATGTAATCAAAGTTCTGGTCCGTGGACTCCTTCTGTCCGTATGTGGCATTTGCAGACGCCATCTATGCAAGGATTGAGATCACATATTAATCAGTCACAAGGAATTAGACTGAGGAAACAGCCTGTTCTTATTTACAGGGAGTGGACGAAGAAATAGAAACCCCTTACAATATAACCCAACACACCAACACCTACACCACAAACTATGCTAAATCATCAGTGTTGATTCAAAGCCTTTCTGACAATGTCTGCAAAAGTAACATTATATACATTTACAAAGGTACACTCGAGATGCTATTTGATTCCATCAGATCGTTCAGGTTTTGTGTTCATGACCATGTGTCCAGTGTCCCCTGTAGTTACAGTGTCAAACACAATTCCTCTGCCACTGGCTGAAACATTTCATGTTCGGTAAAAATGAAAATAAAAACCATTCTGCCTCTACCATTTTATACAATTTTACTGTTCTGGTTCTGGACATATGACAGATTGTCACACACACTTTGTCAATTAGTTTGCATTATGTTGGATTTTTCATACTGAATTTGTAAAAATTGGTCTACAGAAAGTTAATTCACAAACCACATCGTAAGCATATTCAAGAATCAAAAAAGTCTTTGAAACGGGAAACTACTGACACCAAGATTAGCACGATCAAACCCCTGATATCACCAAGAGACATCCTCTGAAGCTACTTTTAGACTGACACAGCAGATTCAGGTTTCTGTTGTCTAAGCTTTACAATAATGTCAAAACCTCTGAACCACAGAGATCTTAAAAACATGGAGACAAAACGTCCTCAACTTATTCAAATGAACATGAACACAATGAAATTCTAGCATTGTAACAAAGGTTAAAAAGGTCCTATTAACAAGTCTTAGGAAAGAACAGTAAATGACCAACTATTGAGTAGTTTCACTGATGTACTGAGCTTTTTCACATCTTTTTAAAGACAGAAATGTATGCAGAAATACACTAAGAGGGCCTGGCAGGTTCAAATATCAAATGTACAGGACTGACAAAACACATAACAAAAGACAAACCATTATGTGGCACATCTGTGAAGGACACCATGAAACTAATGCACAGATACAGAGCTACATTTCATCATCACTATTCAGACAGACCAGACCACCTGAATTCGTAGGCCAGAGTTAAACAGCCTCACGCATACAATTTAACACGTGATGGGGTTAAATAATGTCGGTATCATCTGCTGTATGAGATCGGGTTACACACCATATGGTTCCCAACAGACTCATATCTTTATCAGGGAAATAAAATGATGAAGTCGTTCCGCCAAGAAGAGACTGTGTCAACACAGGCAGCCGATAACCAGACACAGCCTTGAGTGCTTCTACTTCATGTCAATAATACTGGTCCGACAAGGAATGCACACCTCCGCCCCACACAAGATAAGAGGACGGAAGTACCAGGGCTTAGCAGGCTAAGCATCAGCTAAACTCACTATCCATTCCCATCCAGGAGGGCAGGGAACATCCGCGGAGCGCTACGGTAGCCAGCCAATTATGAATGACCATATGGCTGGCCAGAATACCTTGTAGTAAATTAGACTGACAAACAGTCAACGCCTATAATGCACACTGACTCTTTATGAACACATCATGTCCCCCAATGTAAACGGCCTAAACCACATTCCCAATCCACAGCGGAGCTTATCTGGCCGCTGGTGTTAGCTTGTGTATGTAGCTGCCTGAATTTATTTCACAGTCCGGTCCACGTTAGCGAGAGAAAAACCTAGAAAACACATTACTTACCACCTAAAATAAAGACCCAACGATTGTTAAGGAGGTGGAAGCAATACAGATGAAAATGCAGTTTTTTGGCCTTTGAAAATGCATTAAATCAGCCTAGCATTGCTACCTTTAATGCTAACCCAGCAGACCGTTACCAGCACATCAAAGTGGCAGCAGGAGCTAGCTAAGCATCCCAGCTATGTCAAATGAAGGTTACTCTTCCTTATTTACCACTACATTTTCGGTCTAAATCCAGGATATGACAAGCGACAAATACTCCACATGCTAGCTGCTGCCACAGTCTGACTTGACACGGCCTCACAGTGAGAAATAAGCGCAGGGTTTACCATGAAATGTGCGTTTTATCCTCGGCTTCAGCAGCGCCTAGCCCCGTGCCCAGCTTTGCACCTGCAGTAGCTCTTGCGTCTGTTGATTGACAGCCCCGGCAGAAGCGGGTGCAAACAGAGTGTAAGGATGATTGACAGGACCATGGGCCAATCAGAGGAGGGAAATCCGCGCACTCGCAAAGCGCCCCGCCCCCTCCTATTCCTATAAGTTTTTATTTAGTATTGTGTGGATAGTAAATGTAGTAGTGTTAGGTAAATGCTGCAATGCCACAGATGAAACAATATAATAATAATAAATGATAAATAATGTTTTTGAGGCGTCATCAGGAAAATATATTATTCAAAAGTAATGAGTATTATATTTTATTATTGGATTATTATAAATAATAAAGATGCATAAACACTAGAAGCATTTTAATGTCGTAGCTAATTTGAACTATTTTATATTCTTTGGATAGTTTAATCTGTAACAGTGCATATATAAACTCATTAATTGTTTGTACTGTATGTAAAATCTTAATACCTAATATCTAAAGCTGTCAAATAAATGTAATGGATTAAAGAAATATGAGATTTCTCTCCAAAAAGAGAAGTAGCCTAAAGTACCTGAGTTTTTTTTACTTCGTTTTTTTTACGTTGTTTTGACTTTATATTGTGCAAAAATTCTGTTCTTACTCTTCATTGAAGCCCTTAAGATGTTTACACAGGTAAAAAACTCAAACCACAAGACTTCATTATTTGAATGGCTGTATTTTACATATCTTATACACACTCTAGATCCAGTCTGATGTATTTAGGATTTCAAAATAAAGTAATCGGTTTGAACAATGATTGGCTGTATAGTATTACTTATATAGTATAATGACTAACCCATCAGCAGGCTGCTGCTTGTTAAGAGATTAACATCATGTGTAATGACCACAATAAATATATCCTACATATCAGTGATAAGAGCATTTTTATTCATGATGATGATGAAGATGAAGATGTTTGTTAATCAGCATTAACAGGATTATTTTTTGCAAACGTTCTAATCATGTCTTATTATTTAGTTTCCTCGTGAAAGTAGAGAACAAGACATCAAAGAGTGAAGAGTTTTTCCTTTATTGCCAAGGCATACAGTTCTAGTTGTAGAGAGGGCTAACACACCCGCAGTTAAACAGCAGAGTTTGGATTGTCAAAGTTGCAGAGTCTTAGCTCATGACCCATATTCATAAAATCTCTAAGAACAGAAATACTGATCTAGGATGACTTGAGGCCGTATGACTATATTATCTTCACTATGAATCAAAAAAGTCTCAGATCAGCCACACTTACTGTAAGATCCTTCATGAATACGCAATCTGACCAGATCAGTTGATACAGAGGAAAACAGGAGAGGAGAGATGTTTTAGAAAACCCAGAAATCTGTCACTCAACTATTTTTATACCAAGAAAAGCATGAAAGTGAGTATTTTTGCTTATGTATAATGTTATTTGCCAACATAAAGAATTAAAAGAGAAGGAAAAAAGCTGAGTAATAGTTGAAATCTGTCCTGTTTGACTTTCTCACACATCAAGCTATACATAAGTACTAAACCTCAGACTAAACTTAAGTCTACTGTTCCATCGTTTCTGACAGATAATATAGAAATAATAAATAAACTGTACATGAAGCACTGTGAGGAAAATATACAAAATCAAACAATTAGTGACATGCAGAGAGACAGACGGAATCTTCGCATGTTGTGCTGGTTAAGCTGTTGTTAAATAGTCCTTAGTATTGAAGGCATCCTTGAGTGTTGGTCTGTTTGGTGCTGTTTATGGCTGCAGAAAGGATTGCACATGTTTTACTCCAGCATGTCAGTGAACACATCTATGACCAGGAAAAGAAAAAAAAATCCCAAGTTTGAAAATAAGGCAACGAAAAAAAACAGGGAAAAAAAACCTTTCAGTTCATTCACACGTTAAAACATGATTTACTCTTTTTCCATGGTAATAAAATAAAATGTCCCCTCAGGCTAAGTTTTGTAAGTACTATACTCTTTATATTCTTTGAATCCTGCAGCCAATGTCATGCATTTCATCACATTTTTTATACAGTCAATTATAAAAAACAACAACTTCAGTCCCTCCAAAATCCAACCTTTAAGAGCTATAGTGGTCCAGCCCGTGCAATTCAACTCAACCACCAGGCCGTTCGCCAACAGAAAAACAGTGAAACAGTCACGTTATACATGTTCAACTGTACTGGAAGTGCAGAACTGTAAAAGTACCATACAAAGTGCTTTGGTTTTTTCTTAGCAAATACATCAAAAAAGTCAACCCAGTCATTCACTCACACACACACAAAAAACAACAACACATCACTGTTTTAAGACAATATCAGTTTCAGTTACTGTTTGAAGAGGAGTTAGAAAAAAAGGAACAGAGACACTGGGGTCAGATTGGCACACAGGGTGCTACAATCAACCAACTTTATCAGTCACTGATGGAAAGTAGCCAGTGGCAAAATGGAAATTACAGTACGGGTTGTGTCATGCTTGCTTGGCACTTGTTTTGTCATTGACTATGTCCCTGTGAAGAGCGAAATATTGATCAATGAGAGAAAAAAGATGAAAATAATTCTGGTACAGGAAAATGTCTCTCGGTCACCTCTTGGATTTTGTACAGTTATAATGATGCTAACATCCTTGTTTGCCAACCTTATGTTTATAATACCCTGCCTCTATCAGTCTAGTAAATTATGCAAGTGGATGTTACCAAAAAGGGTATTTCAGTCGGTGGATGCTGTGTTTGACACATAATTTAGTAATGATAATGGATCTGAATGGATAGTTTAATGCATTTGTAGCTGTACTGTTGCATTTAGTTTTTGCATGTCTGTGCTGGTTTCTTAACAGTGAATGACAAACTGTTTTGCAGTCAACAGCCTCCAATGTGTTCATATTTTGGCTCAAGCCCTTAAAACCCACAATGAGGGCTAGCAATGAACAAAACTGTAAAGTGCTAAACTTGAAGGCAAACTGATAAAAATGGGTGCCAAAAATTAAGTATGCAAAAAAAACCATTAGTGACTTGAAATAAAATTCCAAAAATCCAACAAAAATAATCAAAAGCACAACAACACTGAAACATAACTGATATTTTGGGTAGTCCTACAGTTAAATACGTTTTGAATGTATTTTCCATATAGGCCTATGCAAAACCTTGCAAATCATTTGCCTCCAATGCCAGAACTTCAGTTCCACTTTTCAACACTAGGAGGCACCATGTGCACAGCCCACATTGCTCTCCATGAGTGTACAACACTACCTGACCCTGGCTCAGTTTTGTCGCTGTCATAATATCATAGTTTAGGATTATAAAAATGGAAATAGTAAGCCTGAAACAACTGAAAATCTCAAAATAATATGTACTGCTAGTCACTTCATTGTAATCACATTCTTCTTCCAAAACAACTGCCTGCTGAACACAATGAAACGGGCTGTGCAACACCAGCTGAAAGGAGTGCTACGTTTACAACAGTAATGATACAGTCACTCAAAATGTCTGCTACATTTAAAGTTTCCTGCATAAAATAATGCATAGCTCCTTTCTGCCATGACTTTCCTTACACTGCTTTGAAGTCTGCTATTGACTGTATCTCCACTTGCATTTCACTGTGTATGGAAGTAAATAAAAGACAACAGAATAAACAAATAAACAAAAACCTAAAAAGGCAGGCAAAACAGCATTGTCCCTGTAAATTGCAAGTTTGGCAAAATGTCTTACAAGATTTTGTCGTGTTTTCACGGCCATTCATCATTTCCTCACTTTCTCCATAAAGATAAGAGGAAGACAGCTCTGTCATTTGTTGTAGTAGACCTTGGGTTGGCTGGTAAAAAGGGAAGTTTTTTTAAACTTCTCATTGTCTCTGTAGAACTTTATCCACATTACATCTGAGTGAAAGACACAGAGCACAAAGGACCGCTCAGAAACTTGGTTTCCTGTCCTCTACTGGACAGTGAATCAGTCTATCTGTCTCTCTCCAGTGCAAGTGACTGCTGTGTAAAACTGCAGACTTTCTTAACACCACCCACACCCATCCGCACTCTCGTACTCCCCACCCCGAGGCTTGCTATCACCCTGTCCAGAGGTGGTGTTTGGTTAGAGTGGGAGAAGGTGAGTGACAGAGGATGAGGCACCGAAATCAAGAAAAACAAACAAAAAAGGCCAAAAGATATACAACTTTTGACTGGTGCTATGTGCCAAGTCTGAAGCGTGGTACCTCAGAGACGCCTTCCTGGTCCGTCTCTCTGTCTTCTGCTATATCTTTCTCAGAGTCTAAAGAAAACGTCCTGCCTGAATCAGTAGTGAGCATTCTTGGGAGCAGGCGGGTCGTAGCAGACACTGCATCAAATCCACTGCCAGAATCAGTTCTGGAGAGTTCAGTCCCCCTGCTGCCGCTATAGCCCTCCTCTTCCTCAGGTGGACTCTCACTGTCAGACTCTCCTTCTTCTTCTAAGGTCAGCTCGAACTGGAACTTGTCGGCCGAACCACCACCACACCCACCGAGTGCTGAGGCTTCCCCGGCCAGAGCTTCCTCTTCCTGGCCCTCTGGGTTGGGTGAGGGGCTGTGGGGGATCATGCTCTGGTACCACTCTCTGTTATCCTCCAGTGTGTCCAGGATCTCCTGAGCATCTGGGTGGACAAGGTCGGCCCATGTCTCCCACAGAGGATGAACGATGTAGTCAATGAAACCCACCTAAAAGAGAGAGGAAAGACGTGGTATATATCTTTAGAGGGATTCTTATTTTCTGAATCTTTTGGTATAATTTTCACTTTTTCTTCACTAGTTCTACATTTCAATTTTACACTTTATAATGATTTACAATAGATTTCAATGCACTAAGTGCTGCAGCTTCTATTCTGTACCTGGTTCTTCTCTATTGAGGCATTTTGTTTGTCACACATGGGGCTGATCTCCATGCCCTTGTCTCTCTCCCTGTCCCCCTGGGTGAAAAACTCCACCATGATGCGGTCTGTCCACTGCCGATACAGCTCAAGAGGCTTGGTGGGGTTGCTCAGGTCTGCACAGTGTACCATGTTCTGTAGGACCTTCAGAGACAAGAGAACAGTTTGAAAATATCCAATTTAA